GGCCATACCACATATAGACCGGCTATTGTCAGCGCTGATCCTTGTCCAACTGACGGGCTATTCAAAGCGCTTCTCAAGCCTCTCCAAAATCCCAGCTTGTTCTACCCCGATGACAGCCATCCCTCCCATTCGGAGTTTTCTTTGTACGCTTGATAACATGGTGGAAATCCCTTATTATGCTTCTTTTAATAATGCTTTCACATGGCAAGGGGACATGATGTTTTAATTTATGCAGCACACATCATCCTTCGACAATTTGCTAAGAGGAACCCTCGCAATCTAAGCCTGCGCCGAATAACAGAAGTTTATGCAAAACCAGTGGTTTCCAACCTGTGGTCTGCAGCAGACCGCTGGGAATCGGCGGACTCCTTCGGAGGGGTCACCAGGAGGTAACCAAGAAAGCGGAGCCGCTGCCGGGAGGTTAAAACCTGCCGCGTACAGAGCCGCGCCGTCACCAGCGCAGGTCTGAGCCTCCCAAACTTGAAACTGAAAATCAGTATCTGAGGGTTTGGGGTTTTTTTTTTTTTTTCTTTCTTATTTCCTTTTTTCCTCTTCCTGCTCGATACGCCAGGGCTGCAGCCCTCTGTGTCTTTAAATACTTGCTCCAGTCGATTAAAAGCAGTAAATTCGGAGGGATAACCATGGCACTCGTTAGGAGTTGTGTGAGTTAAAGTCTCACTTTGTTGTAAAAAAATAGTAATTAACCTTCAGATCCACTTGCTTCCCCCCCCCAATTAATTTTGCAGTATTATCACGCATCTTGAGGCTTCCAGTTTTAAGAATATAATGCTTCTGCTGTTAATGAAGCGGGTATCCACGATCAAGGGGAGCTGAGAGCTACAGACAATTGTTTGTTTGCCTTTATTTCTCACGCCCTTTGAAGGGTTTTTTTCTTTTTTTTTTTTTCTCTTTTTTTTTTTTTTTATTAAGTGACTTTAGCAGATTGTACCCTCGGAGCTGTGAATAATAGGGTTATTCTACAAAAATGGCCAAGGCTAGTTAAGACACACAAAGCCAGGAAATCCTTTCAGGGATGAAATCAGGACTATTTTAGGGGTGCCGTGTAAGTTGGAGACTTTGCAGCTCTCTCGGTTGCTGCATTGCTGCCAGACACGGCCGGGCTGCTGGAAGGAAAGTTCCTCCCCCGCCGAGGGCTTGCCCGGCCGCCCAGGAC